GGAAATCAGTGTCAGAATTGCATTATAGTTATTTATATAACTGTACAAATAAAGGTTTTCTTTTGTTTGTTTTGTTAATCCAAATTCATTGGTTTTTAGAAGTGGAAGGAAAGTGGGAGAGACACAGAGAGAGAAACATGGATGTGCGACACACCGATTGGTTGCCTCCTGCACACGCCCCAACCTAGGGCCAAGGATTGAGCCCAGGTTACTTCAGTCCGAGGGCTGACGCTCTATCCACTAACTCAAACCAGTTTTCAATGTTTAATTATTAGTTGATGTTATGAAGCTTTAGTTGAGTTGAGATAAAAGATTATTAAAAATTGAAGAAACTTCGCTAGAAATTAGTTTTCTGGAATGTGTTTGGAAGAGTTAAGGTTTAATTTTTCTTGGCATTATCTTCGTCATATGACAGCATTTTCATTATGTGGCTGAACTCTGTGAGCCCAGTTTTCCTGCAAATCTTCTAACTTGGATGACTTTCCTTAACTGTAGCAGTCCCCATCCCAGAGCATGGAGGTGGAATAGTACGAAAGCCTGCGAGAGGGCGCTGCAGTACCAAGTCGGAGAGAAGATCCATGGATTCACCGTGAGCCAGGTAAGGCCTGTCCTGACCTCTTTAATGGAGCTTGTGAGGGTCTTCAAGTGGACCCTGGATCTGTTTTCATCTTTCTTCGGCGCCCTGGCTTCCTCCTGCTTCACAGGAGGTGCTCAGTGTGTGTGAAGTCTGCAATGAAAGGACTTTCTAAGAACAGGTTCCCAGTCCTTTCCCTGAACTCCTTCTGATTTTAGAAAGTAAACCAAACTCATTAATGTTTCTAACCTGGCAGTCCACACTGAGTGTGATACACAAAGATTCTGAATGACCCACATTCATTCAGGTGGTTTTATCATCAAATATGTTTGCTGCAACATTATGCAAAAACTTTCTGTTTTTGAGCCATGTGGGTTTCAGAATTATGGGAAAAAGATTATGTTCCTATCTTTACTTAAGTTATGTTAAAAAGGATTTTAATTTTGTTTTTGTGTTGCTTAAACTTCTGCTTTTTTCCCCCTTTAATGCAGTAATTAAGAAATATGTGTTTCACATGATTGGCTGGCTGTTGGCTTCCTGCTGTGCTTGACATGCTGACATGCACAAAGGCAAACAGCTCACATTCTATAGGACCCCTGCAGGGGTAATACAGGCATAGTGGGATGAACGTCATGGTGGAAGTGCAGAGAGCCAAAGGAAGGCAGGAGGGGAGGGGAGCTGCATGGTGGCAGGATGGGGAAGGTTCCTGGAGAAGTGGGTGTTTAAAGAGAAGGGGGCGGTTAAGTTCAGAAGGAAAGTCACCATCTGTCTGTAGGGCCACATTCGTAGAGCCAGTGATGTGGGGCTCTCCCAAGGCAGGGTCCTGGAACGGTGAAGCATGACAGGGTGAACCCTAAAGGCCATGAAAAGGGATTAGGATTGCTCCTGCAGTATGGTAATGACACCTTATTTGGATTCTTTTATTTTTCAAGGTTTTTCCCCCAATTTTATTGAGAAATAATTGACATCCATCACTATAAGCTTAAGGTGTAGTAAACATTCTAAAAGGAGAGGTGTGTATGTATGATTGTCAGCCTAGCTCTTTCTTTCTTCATCGTTAAGGTTTGGGGTTGGGACAGGTGGTGCCTGATGTGCCTCCAGCCAGGTCCCTCAGTGGATTGAACATAACCATTCAGAATGCCTTTCTCGTTGAGTTTGGCCTCATGTTCTTGTTGTTGATTCAGGTAACGCCTGTCCCGGAACTGTTCCTGACCGCCGTAAAGCTCAGCCATGACGGCACAGGAGCCCGGTACTTGCACCTGGCCCGAGAAGACACGAATAACCTGTTCAGGTGAGTGGGCACCTTGAGAACACATTCTTCAACATTTCTCCTTAGAGCAGCGGTTCTCAACCTGTGGGTCGTGACCCCTTTGGGGGTCGAACGACCCTTTCACAGAGGTCGCCTAAGACCATCGGAAAACACATATATAATTACATATTGTTTTTGTGATTAATCACAATGCTACACCGATGCACGATCGTGGTCGGGGAGGGACTGGGGAGGGCTCCAGGGTGTATCCGGCCCATCTCGCCCAGTCCTGATCGGCTGGACCCCAGCAGCAAGCTAACCTACCGGTTGGAGCATCTGCCGCCTGGTGGTCAGTGCACATCATAGCTACCGGCCGAACGGTCGCTTAGGCTTTTATATATAGAGAGAGTCTGCAAACATTTTTATTAGAGATTGCCATGTTAGAATGATGAATTCCAGTAATCCGGGGTAATGGCATATTTGGAAGCTGTTGGACGGTGTGAGCTAACATGGTGGCTCTTTCCTGGCTGTAGCGTTCAGTTCCGCACCACTCCCATGGACAGTACCGGGGTCCCGCATGTTCTTGAGCATACGGTCCTGTGCGGCTCTCAGAAGTACCCATGCAGAGATCCTTTCTTCAAAATGTTGAACAGGTCACTGTCCACTTTTATGAATGCCTTCACAGGTAAGACTAACATCTTGGTCTGAGACTGCGGTGGGGTCTGTCTAAGATAAAGGAGGGTAGTTGGGCCCTGGAGACAAGAATAAACTTATTCTCAGGTCTAGTTGAAAGATGTTAGAAATTTAATCCTCTGGGAAAGCCACATTGTGACTGGATTAGAAAAACTGGAGTTTTAGCCCTGAATGGGTGACTCAGTTGCTTGGAGTGTTGTCCCATACACCAAGAGGTTGCAAGTTCAATTCCCGGTCAGGACACATACCTAGGCTGCGAGTTTAGTCCCTGGTTGGTGTGAGTACGGGAGGCAACCAATTGATGTTTCTCTCCCTTTCTCTTTATGAAATCAATTTAAAAAAAAAATCCTCTTCCTGTGAGGATTTTTAAAAAAGCAAAACAAAACTAGAGTTTTAGGAAAAAGGCATGTGAGGTTTTTCTGGAAAAGGTCAAAACTGTTTCCTTTGGAGAATATTGCTATGAACTTTGGCATTTGTAGCATTATGTTATGTTGACTGCTGTGGTGTTTTGAGTTTTATTTTGGAGAAATAGGAGAGTCAACATGCTGGCGGTGTGCACAGAAGTGCTGTTACAAGTGCAGTTAAAGAGCAAATTCAGTGGGCTGCCTTGCTAGGCCTGTGAGGTAACTGGTGCTGGACCATAGTTCCTGATGTTTTAAGATCTTCCCTTTTGTTTTCAGCTAGTGACTATACTCTCTACCCGTTTTCCACACAAAACCCCAAAGACTTCCGGAATCTCCTGTCCGTGTATTTGGATGCGGCCTTTTTCCCCTGCTTGCGAGAACTCGATTTCTGGCAGGAGGGATGGCGACTGGAACATGAGAATCCGAGTGACCCTCAGACAGCCTTGGTCTTCAAGGGGGTTGTCTTCAATGAGATGAAGGGAGCATTTGTGAGTTTTTTCCTTTCTATATTGTATTAAAAGCATCGTACTCTGTAAAATATTGAAATATAAGTAGGTTTGGAGAATAATCGACATCCTGTTATGTCATTTAATATTCTCATTGTGTGAGGTTTATTAGCTGGAGGAACAGTGAAAGGCCAGGCTCCCGGTCACCCTAGAACTCGCTCTTCCAGACGAGCAGTTCTGTGGTCTGGGGACCCCGCATATGATCTGTAGGAGGTCTGTGAGAAAATAATATTTTCATGACAGAAGTAAGACATCTTTTCCACCTCATTCCT